TCGGTGACGGCTGGGCGAACCCGTCCGACACCGCGGGGCTCTACACCGCCATCGCGACGTGCAGCTACCTCTTCCCGTGGATCGGCCCCACGGACCCCCCCGCGCCACTGTGCTCGGGTGCGGCGCGGCGCGAGGAGGTCCCGGCGTCGGTCATCACCCCTGCGCCGGTGCGCGCATAGTGCGCAATGTGAATGTTATATTTCTTCGGACCATAGGCGACGCGGACGCTCCTTGATCCATACGCGATACTGCCCCTTGTACTGTTCCTGGTCTTGCGCACTAGTGTATTCTGCGGACCCACCCTATATTGTGTACGGCCCCGGACGTGTTTCACGACGTACTGCTATTTATCACCCCTAGATGTGTGTCCGCGGCCTACACGCGTACTGGCGCGCGCTGCAGGGGCCAGCTCATACTTGTTGTAATCAATCGACTGATTCTGGTGCATTCCTTCGAGGCGTGAGAGGGGAGGCATATGCTGGACCGCGTCAGTGCTCCCCGGAAGTCGTCGCGTAGCGATCCTCGAGATCCTCCTGCCCGCCGAAGCCGCCCTCAAAGTCCCTGTCGTCGCCGGTGCCGCCGGGCGTGCTGTCCGCTGCCTTGGCGGCCCGGGCCTGGTCTCTGAGCGCCGCCAGCTGGGCCTGCTCCTGGCGACGCCGGGTGCTCTGCGGTCAGTGCGCGCGCCGGGCGGCGGAGAGCGGGGGGCGCACCTTCTCGCGGGCGTACTGCGCCTCTTCCGCCTGCGCGCGGGACTTCCACGCGCCGTCCTGGGGCACTCGTCAGTGCCCGTCGAGCTGGGCGTCAGAGTCGCCCGCACTCACTTGTGCAGTCTGACCGGAGGACATGTCTGCAGTGCGAGTCAAAGAGTAGTAAGTTAACGTCGGGTGCAAGGTGCAGTTATTGTCTCCGTCTGGCGGCGGCGGACTCAGGAGCGGTGCCGTGGGGAGTGACGTCGGTTTCCCATGGCCATCACGTGACGAACGCAGAATACGTCGAATTTATAATATTAAAAAAAAACGACACGCTGCAGCCCAGGACGATCGCGGTGCAGGACGACACATTATGCAAGGGGGCTAAGTAGTACAGATGGTCTGCAGGGGCCGAGAAGGACACCGCGGCTATTCTACGACTAGGAATACGCGCCGTTCTGCGCGTTCGGCGGGAGGTTGGCCGCGTTGCGCTGCGCGACGCCGAGGTCAGCCCGCGGCCCGCATGACGTGAGCACGGACGCACCCTTAGTAGATTCTGGAGCTGCATCGCCTGCTCCATCTGCTCCTGCGTGAATTGCGCGTTGTGCAGCCCGGGGATGTGGTAGTAGCCCATGTTGGTGCCCTGCCGCGCTGCGCCGCCGGCCTGTCCCGGGACACCTTGGTGGACTTGAGCCTGAGCAGACGGCGGACGCGGTGAGTTGGCGGGGTGGATAGGCGTGCCCACAGGCAGAGGAGGCGACTGCTGCGGAACAGCAGGAGACGAGCTCGTCGCTCTCGCGGCGTAAGGAGGAGACAGGTGTCCACCATTTATCGACGCTGCAGCATTCAGCGCATTCGATGCTGCAGCTTGAGCTTGAGCCTGAGCCTGAGCCTGCGCCTGCGCTTGTGCTTGTGCTTGTGCTTGAGCCTGTGCCTGAGCTTGAGCTTGAGCTTGAGCTTGAGCCTGAGCCTGAGCCTGAGCCTGAGCCTGAGCCTGTGCTTGTGCCTGTGCCTGAGCTTGTGCCTGAGCTTGGGCTTGTGCCTGCTGTGCCTGCGCTTGTGCTAGAGCTCTAGCCTGCGCCTGAGCTTGAGCTTGGGCTTGAGCCTGCATAACTTGCGTCGGCGAAAGACGGGCATTCGCTAGAGCCATTGGATTGGACAGTCGCTGCTGCTGAGAAATACCGACCTGACTTCGGATTTGGGGCATTTGGGTCTGTGAAACCCCATTGTTAATAGCCCTAGCCGCGCCATTCTGGACTTGTTGCTGCTGAGGCTGAGGCTGCTGCTGCTGCTGCTGTTGTTGTTGCTGCTGCTGCTGTTGTTGTTGTTGCTGAGCAATCTGCGCCTGTTGGATACATTAGAGGCGTGACGCCATGTCCTTCCTTGACCACCTACGTTGGGCGCGCCTTGTAAGCGCTGAGCTTCTCGAAGTAGCTGCTGTTGTCGAGCCAGTTCGCTCTCGTTTCTTCGCCTGATAATCGATTCCTGCGATTCTCTTGATTCTCTCTCAGCCTTCATTCGACTAAGTTCCTGCGGCGTGAGTCTTGGCATCTTGTTGTATTGTCCATGGGTGTCGTGAATAGCCGGCTGCGGCTTCCGTTGAACAGCCGCTGCAGAAGCGAAATCAGACACTATTATGAAAATCGCAACAGAAGAATCTACCATTGTTTTTCAAAGTCGCCTCTTTCTTCTTTATAGATTTACGAATAAAATCGTGCAGTAAATTGTGCCGACGACGCTTCTTGGACTCTGTAAGGGGGACTGGATTATTATTTGCGTTTACCAATGCCGTGGTGCTCATTGAACGCTTGTGCCCTCTCGTGGTCATCTGGCTAGGTGCAGTGGATATCTTGGGATGGACATCGTCTTGTGGATGGCTTCCCGAGCTCCAACGTGCTAACCAACGATCCAAACAATCTTGTGCGGTCCTTCTATCTGTCGAAATTGTCACTCTAGACGAATTGAAAGCATCCGCGATGAGTCTCCAGTTATTATGATACTTTTCGTATAACTGTTTCAACAGAACATCTTCGTGCGGTGTCCAGTAGTGGTCATTTCCACGACCTTTGTTTCCTTTTGATGAGCCAGGTAGCGAAGACGAGTGCGCAGCGGGCGAATTGAGCTTGTTCTCGAACAAGCCTAGCGTAAGGCGTCAGAATTAATTGATACAGTGGTACGGACCTATACATACTGCACGAAGTCTCATCAACAGGTCGTGGAGGCAGCATATCAGGATCAGTTTCTACGGGCATCTCGTCGATGTCGTTCCAATGATCACCCTTCCAATGCCGTGATGGCTGCAAAGGGCCAAGAAGCGTAGGCCTGATGTGCATGAATCCGCTCATTGGAACGAGCCGATTGACTGTCGTTTCGTCAACCCTCCTGTGCGGATCATCTTTGTCTGCTTTCTTGTCCGACTTTCTCCGACCATCTGAACCTCCGGCCGACATAACCCCAGGAGCAATGGGATCAAAGAGAGATAGAGGTGTGAGGTTAGGGAAAATGGATAAGAGATCAGGGGTGGGATGAGCAGGAGATGAATAATCATGTGTAGAAAGCTCAGACATGCCCTTCACGAGATCGAAGGCGTCCAAATCCAGGAAAACTTCGTGATCGTCTAAGTTCATAATTTGACTCCGGATAGGTGCATAGGAGTTGGATTTGGGCTTGGACTTGTGTGGCAGAGGAGCAGACTGCCGGTCATCGATTATACTACTCCCTAGAATAGGATCCTTGGAATCAGATTTAAGGCCACGAAGAGGCGCTGTAGACTCTTCGACTTTCGTAACTGCTTCCTCACGTTCTCCAGCAGCAGACGTCCCCTGAATCTCTGCATCCACATCCATGGCATTGAGATCATCTTGGGGATTTGAACTATGCAAGGCAGACAAGTCTTCGACGTCTTCCAACTTAGGCTGAAAATGGTCAACATCGCTAGGCGATTGCTTACCACTATCACGGTCAATTCGGAGTTCCTCGTGTGTTGTGATTGCATCCTCAACGACCTCTCCTGATGCCAGCAAATCTAGCCCGTCTGGGCGATCCTTCTCTTGCTCGTCATCACTATCATCTTCAGAAACGTAGTCGTTAGCGGGCGTATTTGTCTCCCTTGAATCGACTTCTCGATCATCGTCCATGTCTGGCAACTCGACTTCATCATTGAATCTACGATCTCCGCTCTTTTCTTCGGGTGTCTGAGGCCGCGGCCTTTTCCAAAGCACGCAAATACCTCTCGAAACACGTTCTTTTAGGGTACCGGCGATGTGCCAATCCATCACCGCATGTGCGAGGCTATAAGCCAGAGCCATCTTCCATATTCTTTCCTCGCGAAAATCAATACGCATCCATTTCTACGTACATGAAATCATGATTAGTCATAATGGAGTGGACAATAAAACTTAGCCATACCATCTCATCCATCAAATAGTCCCAGTGGGACTTCGCCGATATACCAACGCCTCGTTGCTTCTTAGGCTGCCGGAAGCTCCATCTTTGACTCTCCTTAAGTAACTCCATGCGCTCGAACGTACGAATCAACCTAAGCTCCGTCATACCGATCTAGCATCGCAGGGCATTAGAATACAATAGTATCCGAGCTGATAGAGACCCACATTCCACTCCCGGGTGGTGATGCACTTGTTGGCTTTTGGAAGTTTCTTGTATACAGGATTTGCTCGAATGGTAGCGCACCACTTATGAAAACCCATGGAGACCCAATCCTCTTTTCTGGTATCACTGCGATCTCCTGGTTTATCGCTTTTGTCCTTCTCTTTGTCACGCTTTCGCTGGTGTCGAGAAGACTTGCCCTTACGATTGAATTCGACTGGAAGTATCTTCGAGGGAGGTAAAGTATACTTCGGGTCATATTGTATCTGCTCAGTGATTCGCTTGGCTACTTCTGCCGCTGAAGAATCATCCAACGACTCAATGACATCGTCAAAGTGGAAACACGCTTGTGCCGGCGAGTGATGTGGCGCCGGAATGATGTACGTACGAGGTCGAACCTCAACACCAGTTGTTGGGAGGTCGGATTCAGAAAGGTCAAAAGCCTGCTGCCACTGTGGAGGACAATATCCACCGCTTTCCGTATGAAAAGGCATATTGGATTGATCAATATCCATTGCAGCTGAGTCTAGAACCTGAACGTCCGGAAAGAGGGGAATTTGCTGATGTGACCCGACTGGCCCCGGAGACAGAAGTATAGTGTCAATTGGGGTTGAGACGTTCGTGTTGTCTGTATCATGACTTTCCAGTGGCGACGTTGGGACCAATAGCTCCGTATCAGTCAGACTATCTATGTGACCGGTGTCCGGGCTTCCACAGTATTAAAGAATCGTCAAACAGCTGAGATTAGGTGACGCACTGTTTCTCCAGATCAAATCGCTCCAGAAATTCCTGCAGCTCCTCCGCATCATCACCTTCATATGCAAGAATGGTGCCAACGTGATTTCTTCTCTGGATCATATGGTACATTTCCTGGAGAAGCTGATTTCTCCGTCTCGCGATTTCGCTACATTGATGAGACGGTGAGTGCAGAAAGAATTCGATATCACTTACCTTAGTTGTGCCAAACGATCCTGAACGTAATCATCCATCGAATCCGACATTGTCGGCGGGTTCACTGGCTCAGAAATATACCGACAACGCCACAGGTGGATACGCCGACTTATTCGTAGATTCACCTAAGACCCAGAGAAACAACTGTAAGAGCAGCTTCAAATACAGGAGAACATGCGTCGGCGAATGATGGAAGTAGGTTGGATACAATGAAATATCCGTTCTCTCCCAGACGAGCGTGTAGTTCGATGTTACCAGTAAGTGAGTAGGCAGAACTGATTGCCTATTATGGCGGGCAATATAGTCTCGGATATTGCCGTCCAAGTGTCAATTCGCAATAGGAAACCATGCACCCAAAATAAGCATCTCAACAGAAACATGTCTACATGTGGCTAATTCCGCATTGCAAGCGCCTTTGCCCCCGTGAGCTACCGGTACAGAAGGAAGAACAAACTGATGGTACTTGGACTCACTGGAGGGGCGGATGGGTGCCATGGCAAGCGACCAAGTAGATGCAATCGATCCGAAAGAAAAAAAAAAAAA